CTTCAAAATATACACAATCATTTCTCATCACCTCCCCCCAAGTTGGCCTGATCATGATCAACATTGCTGCAATCATCTCCCAACTTTTGTTCATGCCCCTATAGTCTACCCAAGCAAACAGAGAGATCCTTTTGTCAGGAGATCTGCTCAGAGTCTTAGATTGACTTTTCATTACAAATGGCCTCCAAGGGAAAGACTGATGGGGAAGACTGACCCATCTAGTACCAATCTCTATGCCTTCTGTGGTTTCTGTATGTGCCTAATAACGGCAGTGCCACTGTGTTTCCTTGAATGACAGTGGTTTCCACTGGTAGTCCCATGCCAAGGGACAGAGAGGAGCTGTAAGGGATTTAGGATGGTATGAGCCTGAACTTTTAAAGTACCCACAAGTTCTGTGCATAGTTTATGTCCCTTCCAGTGTGGAAACAAATGCAAAAAGCAAAGAGATGGCTCTTCAAACTGAACTAAAGTTGGAATTAAGAGAAGAACATGCTGATAAGCTTCATGTAATGTGAAAGTATCAGCATTACAACTAGTTTTAAGACCTCAGAGCTTAGCTTTCCTTGCTCCTTAGGGAGGAAGACAGTAGGAAAGTAAGAGCATAGAAAAGTCCCCGGGAGGACCTATGATGGAATGTTTGCTCTCTCACTATGGATGAGTAAATTATTGTTCAGGAAATGTTCACTCCCTCCTCAGCCTCAACTCCATGGAAGTATTTTGATGTTGGGCTTGGCCATGTGACTTACTTTGACCAGTGGAAAGTGGATAGAAGTGACAGTGTGTGAGTTTCAAGCCTAGGTCTTAAGGAACATCACACATTTCTGACCCCCAGCATAAGAAGTACTTGATCCCAGAAAAATGAGAGCTTTGTGGAGCCAAGTTGCCCTAATGGATCTGCAGACATATAGAGCCACTCTAACCAACCCACAGATGCAGTAATGAGAAATCAATGCCTATTGCTGAATGCTTCTTTATTATGCAGAAGTTACTGACTAATAGAGCCACTCACTAGATGTGTGTCCTTGACAAATGGTTTCACTTCTTGAGCCTTGCTTTCCTCATCTATAAACTGGGATAACAATTGTACCTATTTTGAGGATGGGACTTTGTTAGCACCAGGTAAGGTGCTGCACATAAAGCTCTAGCACAGAGCCTAGAGTGCAGAAAGTGTTTGCTTAGCATCTCTTCCTTGTTCCTGATGATGAGCACTTTGCAGAGTGGGTACCACAACTGCGGGAGTATGGCAGACTGAAGCTATGCTGGGGTGTAGTTCTGGGTAGCAGCAGAAGAAAGGGCTGGTTGGGAGAGTGAGTGGGGGCCAAAGTCAGTTGCCCCTGGGTAGTGTGTTTGGGTGGCAGTTGTGGGACCCATCTCTTTCTTGCTTGCTTAAAAGTATGAAAGCAGGGTACTCTGATAGTTGCCCCTGAGCAGGTGGTGTTGTCTTTGGCTCTACCAGAATTCATGGACCAATGAATAACCTGCTGCTTCCTGTAGAGCCTCAGAGGGGGACTTCCAGGCTTGTGTTTCCTACCCACTGGCTGTGTCCTCATGCATGACTCCTGTTTCAGAAACTCCCCTTCTTGCCGCCTGCTGGCCAACCTTCTAAGAGCTGGCTGCCCTGGGGCGTTCAGCTGGAGGGAAGAGTGCTAGTGCTTTCCTTCTGAGAAAATCAGTCCCTTTCGGCCACAGTGTCCTGGGCATCACAGTGTCTAGGCCATTCCCACATGTCAGGCCAATAATTATCCCTGCAGTGTTACTTCCTTCAGGTATGTGATAAGTGCTCCTGGGAATACCTCCATTATTCCCCAACAGTGCAAAAGCACAAAATACCTGTGATTAGGGAGGTAAAGCAGTTACCTTTCCCCATACTGGGTCTCTTTATCTTGCTTTAGTTCCCTTTGGCCTTGACAGATAGATGAGGGGAAAAGAGTAGGGGGCGCTCCTGCTCTCTCTTAGTCCCACTTCTAGGAGCCTATATCTAGGGCAGTGAGGGCATTTCTTCAAATATGCTTCTGCATAAACTCCTTAGCCTGTTCTCAAGACCCTTCAAGATCTGCTCCAGACCATCTTTCCTGCCATTCTCTCTGCCCCTGTCAATGCTACCGTAGGGGGCTATTCGTTTCTCCATTTATTCAGGCCATAATGAATGTTTATTGGATGTGCTGTGGGCAGAGAGGAAGAGCTGATGAAGGCAAAGTTCCTTCCTTTGAACTACTGAGTCCTTTAAATGCTCTTCTTGCTTTTGTATATGCTGCTTGGAATCTCCCTCCCTCCCTCCCTCCCTCCTTCTTTTCTTGCTGTCTTTTCTTACCAAATGTTTACTCATCTATTCAGTGCTTATTTGAATAGCAATTGCTATGTATAACCTTGCCATGAATTTTAGGCAGATTTTCTATGATCCCAAAGAGTTCTGTTCCTATTTTTAATACATTGTAATTGTTACACAAAGTTTTTTAATTTTTTTAAACATGTATTTATTTATTTGGCTGCGTCGGGTCTTAGTTGCGGCTTGCAAGATCTTTCATTGTGGCGCTTGGGCTCTTCTTTGTGGCACGCAGGCTTCTCTCTAGCTGTGGCATGTGGGCTCCAGAGTGCATGGGCTCAGTAGTTGTGGTGCACAGGCTCTTTAGTTGTGGCATGCGGGTTCTGCTCTCTAGTTGTGGCGTACAGGCTCTAGAGTGATGTGTTCAGTAGTTGTGGTGTGCAGGCTCTCTAGCTGTGATACACGGGCCCCAGAGCTCGCAGGCTCAGTAGTTGTGGCATGTAGGCTCTCTAGTTGTGGCACACGGGCCCTAGAGTGTGTTGGCTCAGTAGTTGTGGTGTATGGGCTTAGTTACCGCATGGCATGTGGGGTCTTAGTTCCCACAACCAGGGATTGAACCCACATCCCCTGCTTTGGAAAGTGAATTCTTAACCACTGGACCACCTGGGAAATCCCCTGCTATACAAATCTTTATGAAACACTATAATATGTCTGTCTCTCTGACTAGAGAGTGAGGGACTCATGGATGGGAAACATGTTCTATTGATTTCTCTATTCCCTGGCATGCAGGACCACTTAATAAATACTTGTAGCAAATATTTAGTGAACAAATGAATGAAGGTCTTTAGTCTTAACTTTGCTATCCTCTTCAGCTATTGCCAAAGTCTGTCTTTTTCAGTTCCTACAGACCCAGTGGGGATGAGTCAGCAGGAGCATCTCACTTGAAGTAGATGAAGTTGAAATTCCCCTCAGCCACATAAATGCTATTCATTATTGTTTCCAACAAGATCTGTCATCCTGGCTCTCTAGCCCCTATTTGCATCAGAATTGATCTGTTCATAAGAAAGGCCATCTTCCCATAGCACAAACCCATATGGATGCTTTCATCTTTGGCAGCAGCCACATCACTTAATATTAATCAGACCAGAGCTAGGGGGTGGGGCAGGGAGGGAAGTCCCACTAATGATTGACTCTGTAGCTGGCAATCTCTTAGATTGTGTGTTGAGGTTTAATGTGTGATGTCATGGCTTTTCATGGTCTCTAAACTGCAAATTCAAGATTATTTGAAAACATTTTATTTAATTTTTATGCTCTTTTAATCAAAAAAGTGAAAAAAACTAATAATCCTTTATGGGCAGTTATAAAAACTATTTGCACACAAGACAGAAATATCTCCCTTTGCTGATCAATCTAAGTTTGAACTTAGAGAGGACTCCATAGGGGTACTGATGAGGCAGGGTGGTATGGTTTTGGAGATAACTTAATTCTTCTAGGTGATTCTCCAGGTTCATTCATCACCGCCAGCGCCCCCAACCCCAACCTCTTTGTATGGAAGTGACTTCATATGGAAGCGAGTGCCTGTGGGGAGGGCTGGTGTCTGGCCCATCTTTTTATTCCAGGAGCCTCACTTGGTGCCTGTCATGAGGCAGGTGTGCAGGAAATGCTTGCTGAATGGATGAATAATTGAACAAGAGAAGGTTTCTACATACTCTCCTTCCAGCAGTCTGAGGTGAGATCTGTAAGCATTCACTCTGCCTTTCCACGTCACCACTGGAGGTAGAAGCACCAGTGGCCCCCACCAAGTGAGGATACGCAAAGGGGATGTGAGGTGTTAGAATGTTTGTGTGCTGCTTTTTACATTTGCAAAAATCAGATTCAGAATCCTAGATTTAGAAAGACCTTAGAAATCTGAAGTTCAACTTCTTCACTTAACAAATGAGGAAACAGAGTCAAAGTGAGGAAGTTCCTTGATTAAGGACAAAATTGGCACATGAATTCCACTTTTCTGGTCACTCCTAATTAGTTAAATGCTTTTTTTCCTATACTGTTTTCTTTCATTCCCTTGGTGTGTGCCATTTCCCATAACTATCCCCAAATCTTGCAAACTCTGGGATTGCTGTGGAAGACAGTAGCATCCTTTCCCCTCTACTCCCTTCAACTTTGCACTGTTTCCTCTTTTTTGCTTAAGGATTCTGGGGATAAAACACTCTAGAAACCCAAGGAAACTGGACAGAGTTCTCTAGGTCATCATATCACACATGTAAATGAAGAAAAATGCCACCCTGCCTCCACCTGAAAGGGAGACCCAATGACACAGAGAGGGAGATGTGGTCTCGCTGAGGGCTTCTGGATGTTTTGAAGTTGTATCCAAACCACCTGGTGAATGCTTTTTCAATCACATAATTGGCAAAGCCCCAAATGTGGCCAGCTGACATGGTAGAGTCTGTCAGCTAGCAGAGTCCCCCAGCTCTTTACCAATCCATGGGATAATGATGACCATCATCATAATAATCATTATTGCCTTAGACAGGCATGGATGACAAAGGCACTCTGGGGGCTTCTGTTTGAAATGAGCTGCTTCTTAGCCTACCTTCACTCTCCAGAGTGACTTTCTACAGAATTAAAGGATCATGAAGCTGAAAGAGGCCCTTGGAGATCATCAGTTCTGCCTTTCTGACTTCAGACAGGACTAACCTTTATAGAATATTTGCTATATAGGAAATTGAACCAAACTTACTTTTATATGTTATTCTTGTGATAGTGTCTCTGTTGAGCATTCGATTAAGAAATGGGTTTGATGAATCAGAAACCTAGGGGAGAAAAGAAAATATTAATAACTGGGCAGTACTATTTCAAGATAAACATCGCCTCCATGCATTTACTTATTCACTCATATTTATTGAGTCCCTACCATGCTATAAACACTATGATGGCTGGAAATTCAGAGATTAAATATATAGAATCTACTTTCCAGAATCCAGTCTAGAGAAAGAAGACAGGTAAGTAACCTAATGGTTATAATTTAGTGTGAAGAGTGCTATGATAGAGTTACAGGTATGATGATATTAGAGGAAGACCGTCCACCTGGGGAATCTTAAGCACTAAGGCCTGAGCTAAGTCTTGAAGGATAGGGGGAAGTTAACAAAGTGCTTTGGTGGTATAGTGTGGAAAAGGAGGAAAGGTGAAGAAAAACATGACATACAGAGGATTGTGCACACATGGACATGGGAGAACTAGTCATGCCCAGGGAAGTATTTCAGTGTAGGTGAAGGTGAGAGTATGGGGGAAGGATGCAAGGTAAGGATAGAGAGGTAGGCAGGTGCTAGGTCATGTCAGGCTTTGAGTGTCATGTTAGGGGATTTAAACTTTATCCTGTAAGGATGGGGAAATATCAGAGGGTTTTAAGTAAGGAGTAGGGAGTGACATATTAGGAAGGGGATAGTTTTCCAAGTAGAGAGTGAGAGAAAGAGTACCCAGAGCAGTGATATCAGGAGATGAAAAAGATCTCTAGGATATAATATAGAATCTTACACCACTGCTCAGTATTACATGAATCAAATATATCATAAGCCATGTCATTCAGTCAATCAATCAATCATCCATCAATCTGTCCTTTCATCCATCCAAAAAATATTTTGGTAAAAAATATTTACCAAATTCCTACTACGGGTGACACATTTTACTAGATGTTCAGGGATCAGTTCCCATTTTATGCCCATGCTGTTAGGTCTCCAAATTCCTTGTTTGGAGAAAAAGCCAAGTTTCCAGGGGCTTAAGCCAGGGAACCACAATTTGGAGACTGTGATGGGCCCCCACAAGACTGTGTATACTGTTTTCTTAACAACTCCCTTTTTACTCAGCCTTTTTCTAGGGACCATTGTTCATCCTAGTTATTTTTCTCCTACTTTGCTCAGCTGTGGTCTGTAATTTACACCTCAGCTGCTAATCGGATGTTGTGACACATCAACATTTAAAATCTGATTTATTCTGAGGGTTGGGAAAATTGCAGCAGATGATTATTATTATTAGATAAGCAACAGGTAATTTTTAGTTTGCAGAAAGCACAGACTGTTTATTTTCCCTCCATCTGCCTTTCCCACGCAGTTTCCTGTGTGTGTTGTTGTGGTGAGACATACACCAAGGGGAGCTTGGTGAGTGACAATGTTCAACGGAGGTAAAATCCCACTCCAAATGGAGAAAAGTCCAAAATTAAACACTGCTGATCCCTGGAAGCTTTAGTGCTGAATCAAATTTCTACTTTGACATCCTCTTCAGCTATTTAAAAGATAGCCTGAAGCTGCCTGTTTGTGTTGATGCAGCCCATGAAAGGAGAGCCAAAAATAGATTGTCATTTCAGGTGAGGAATCTGCCATGTCCCTTAATCGGGTGCCTTGTTTCCCTGGTACCCAGTGAGTCTGGGCAGAGCTAACATTGGGATTAGACATTTTTGTGCTGATTAAAAATAATTGAAAAATTTCCAGAGTGCACACAGATGATTTGTGGGCTCTAGCATGTTGGCTGTGTGGGTGAGAGGGTAAAATATGTACTTGGTATAAGTGAGCTTAAGTGGGAAGTTAATGGTATGTGATTGAGCAGCAATTATAGCCAAATCTCAGTTCCCTGTGGTCATAGAAAGGGTGGGGGATTAGGAGGGGACAGAGATAGGTAAAACACACAGATAAACAAATCTCTTGTTTTAACAAACAATTCCAGTGCTTTTATGGCTCAGCTTTTGGGCCAGGGTGACATCTTGAGGGCTCAGCTGACCTAGATACAGGTCTCTCATTTTCTCTTCCTGCCTACCTTGAGGCAGGAACTGGGGAGGAGAGGCAGAAAGATCAGCAGGAGGGGAGGGGTATCAGAGGTTTTGTTCATGTCATTTCTAGGTACCAGTGTCCAGAACAAGGCTGGCCTGTGTCTCATGCTCAGTCAGTGTTTGGGGATGAGTGAATGACAAGTCACAGCTTGGATAACTCACTGTGGAGCATCTGGGAGTTGATTATGTTGGACAAAGATAGAAGTGCTGTGGCTTATTTTGAGATCTAGCCAGAAAGCTTCAGGTTTGCTCAGGGAAAGAACAGAAGCATCCTTAAGAGCCAAACTGGCCTGAGAAGATGCAGGAGCTATCAGGAGCTACCATCCTTTCACTGACCTCAGGGTCTGGGGCATAAGTTCCACTCAACGCAGGGAAGCAGCAGGACCTGCATCAGTAATCTCGGTGGAAAGAGT